CACACAACTGAAGCTGCGCTCCCAGCACCACACATGTGGTTCACTCAGTGAACGAAATAACAAAAGCTGACCGTGTTTTGACGTTATTTTTCTCTTATAGGAAAAGAGTTCTTTTGTTTACAAACGCTGGCTCCATGTATGGATTATACGTATACGTCTAAACTTTTCAAACCACTATAGAACCAAAAATCAAGTTTTGATAGAATGTCTTATTTGGAAGGGGCTAAAACATATTTTCTCCTGAAAAATTAATTCTAGATCTAGAATATATTTGTTTGATAGGGGAAAATATGAACCTTTTTTCGTTCAACTGTCATGGTGCAGATGCCTCCTGTCCATTGGTAACTTCAGACCCTAGTCCTAGAAGTAGGCTATTAGGAGCAACAAGAAAAAGAAAACAACAAAAATGCCGTATATTTTCCCCGATTGTTTTCGAAATAAAGGTTTAAAACATTGCAAAAAACCAATAGAACAATTGATAAGAGAAAAATGAACAATAACAATCAGCAAAAATAATAATACCTATTTAACTTGTACAGTTCAATGAAACTCGTAAATGATTGCGGATATTAAAAGAAATGAATGTATCGATATATAAAATTTATAAACACCAGATATGGCATGGACATTCTTTGATTCGAGCTTATCAGAGAACAAAGCACCTGCCATTTTAAATTATTTGAAAACATGTTATGGATAAATTCTGTACTTCATGATTTCTTTAAAACAAACGAGATAGTTTCCAGTAGGCCTTATAAGAAAAAAGTACTCAATACTAAGATTAATAACGATATTTTTTTGTCAATACTCTATGCACTTCCGGGTTCAAGATGAAATGAAGGGGAGAGAATGTGCGAACACAGCACTCAACAGTAACACTGAGCACAGCAGTCAGTTCAGTCAGTTCAGTCACCGACAACGCCTCTCTTAGAGAACCCTCTCACTGACACTCACCACTGCTGTGCTTTTGGTCCACTTGGACTTGAGTGTGTTCATTGCTCGTTAGGAGTCAGCCAGTGGAGGTACGCTGAGCATGTAATTTTTCGTCACTCGGCTTCGGGTTTTGTGCTGAAGATCTGTTTAACTTTAAAATATTTACTTTAGTAGCCTATTAATTAGATTTATTTTATTAGTAACTTCAGTACCGGGTACCGTGTAGACAGTGTGTATCGAGATTTCTAGTCACTAGTCTAGTGTAGAAGAGTGAAAATGAAGTAGATCTATGAGTATGTTATGTGGCTGACTAAATATTTAAAATTTAAAACTTTGTTAAAGATTTTTGGGAAGGGTAGGCCTGCTTATATTATACTAGAGATCTAGATAGAAATCTAGATCTAGATTCTAGATCTAATCTAGATCTAGATCTATTTTACTTTCCTTTCCACTCCAGTCCCATGCTCAGAGGGCCTAGTCTGCATAGCACTTTTCGGTATTTTTTTACTTTCCCTCCCGTCTCACACTCAGCTACCAGTTGTCTATTTTCTACTAAATATTGATGCGCTGAACTCGAATATCAACTTCATTTCCGTCGCAAATTAATGGTTTTTGAAATATTTGATTGTTTTTAACCGAGATAGACATGCTTTGGACCAATCGGGGGGTTCCAGGAGGGCCTGCCCCACTGGGGTAAAAGAAAATCTGGGGGGTTACAGGGGGGCATGCCCCCCTGTTTTTACACCCATAATTTGATATTTTACAGTTAGATTTGAAATTGTCTTGAAAATAATTGATTTGCGACAGTTTTAGTGGCTTTATGTGTGATCTGCAGCAAACAGTACAGCAGTTTGACCCCTGAAACAGTGCATCTGTGTGCGGGAGTGAAAGTAAAAATTTACCCACTTTTCTTGTTCATTTTTCTGGGAAAAAATTCGAATTTATAGATTCTAGAATCTAGATCTAGATATAGATCTAGAATCTATCTCCTGTCGCAAATTATTAGTGATTTTAGGCTTTTTAAATACGAAGTGTATACAGACCCGATAACCGGGAACAAAGTCACGAAGTATACAGACCTGGTAGGGGAACTCTTTTGTGATTTCGGAAAGTTTCTGCGCCCAGACCCGGTAGTGTGTTTGTGTTTGTGTGTGTGTGTGAGAGAGAGGGAGAGGGAGAGAGAGAGAGAGAGAGAAGTGCTAGCAAAATCTGACATGCCCCAGTTGGCAGGAGGGAACGAGAGAAAGATAGAGTGGGAAATAGGTGGGGAGAGAGAAAGACAGAGACAAACAGAAAAAGAGAAGGCGAGCGATACACAGAGGAGAGAGAGAGAAAGAGAGAGAGAGAGAGAGAGAGAGAGAGAGAGGCAGAGAAATAGAGAGGGTCACTGCTCGATTGAAATTAATTGTTCTTTTCTTCAAATTGTGATTCCTCCAACTCCAAAACGGAGGAAAACGATCGTTCATCGAAAAGACATCCGCAATCTTCATTTAGATCTAGATCTAGGCTAGCCTCGAAACTAGATCAAAGATTTATGTCTGTCTGTCTCGATCTAGATCTAGACCTAGGCCATAGATCTAGAAGAACCTTGGTCTACCCTGAGCCAAGAGGGCGCAGAAACTCTCCGAAATCACAAAATGTGACAAAAGAGTTCCCCTACCGGGTCTGTATACTTTATGACTTTACTTTGTTCCCGGTTACCGGGTCTGTATACACTCCCTTTTAAATAAGTTTTGAAATATATTTGATGATTTTTGTAGGAATTATTTTATAGTATATTACAAGACACACTACTAAGCCTTGCATTCTGTCAGATCTTAATTTTAATATTAAATATTTCAATTTCATGTGTTATAAAAAAGCAAATGGCTATTCTCCGGCGTTGAGCCGGTCTAGAGATTGATGGCTATTCTGCGGTGTTAGGTATTGTTGCTCGTCATGTCGCTTCTCCACAGCTTTTCATCTCCCCTGCCAGCATGTTACTATGGTCATTATTGTTGCAGCTGAGTTCAGTGCCAGATGCACACCTTCTTGTACTTCTGGTTGTGACTGAAGGTTGTTGGAGCTTCTGGTGCTATCGCTTTTGATACAGATTAATTCCTCCTTCTCCTGTCAGTTGAGCTTTCATTGAGTACTGGCTGCGTGTCCACCTAGATGGTAAATCGCATTCTGAAGAAATGCGACCCTGGTGAGTGTTTGTGTATGGTACGTGCCGACAGGGGAGGTGGAAAGCTGCGGAGAGGGGACATGTGCAACTGTAAGTGATGGAGAATAGCCACTTGAATCAAAACTATTTTATAAAACAACCCGGCAGGTCTTACAGCTGGCATCTCATGCCCCCCCAGCCCCTTCCTGTAAATTTCTCTCTGTGCTGTGGTTTGATGTTGTGCAATTATATTTTGTGATTCTCTTGACAATGACCAATCAGACTTATCCTTGGTCCTCATGCTGATGTAAGCCTAATGAAAATTGTCCAAAAAGAGAAGGGCAGTGATTAGAATTTATTATATTAAGTTATAATGATTTCTTTAGTTTTATAATTATTTTATTTTAAGGTACTCAGATAGATTACACTCCATGCCGGCTTTAGACACATTTCGGACTCAAGCATGCTAAACTGCTCTTTCCGAATTTTTGCTATATAAATTACAACCCTTTAAGCACTGTTACTTCGGCTTCGGGCACGCTTCATTTACAAAACAGTCAATACTTTCATGATGATCTATCGAAGTTCGAACACAGTCTACACCGCAGCAGTGAGTGTGTTAAGAGAAACACAAAGAACGCAAGTGATGGAAACACACACACGCGCATGAGCGGAGAGGAAGGCAGAGAGATGCACACAGGCGCGTGCGTGGACATAGGATCTAGCCGAGGGCAAAGCTACACACAGACAATAAAAATACAAAGAGAGTCAGGGAGACGAGAAAGTGAGGGTGGTTGCGATTTCACCTTTGCCCCTCTCTATCCGTTCATCCTGATTATGTATCACGCGCGAGGTGGGATGGAGGCAATGGTATGAATGTGGCACAGTGGGCAGTGGTACGCACAAGCAGTGTGTAGGCCTAGTGTGCTGTATCGTGACTGGCTGTCTAAATTAAATTTTCATTTCCCATTCCACCACAGAACAAAACAAGTAAATAAAGAAACAAAAACTACCATGGCGGGTAAAAATGACAGCGCACACTTTTGCGCGACCATGATTTACAAGCAAAGGGAAATAACTCAGAAAATGTTCTACATGAAAATCTCTGGATTATGTCTACTTCACTCTCAAGCATGCCTCAGCATTAAGCACGCTTGTGCTTTCTCCTGATGACCGTGCTTAAAGCCGGCATGGACTGTATAATCCATCATGTAAGGTTAGCTACTTAGAAAAACTGCAGTCTAGGCTCACTCGACTTTTTTTGTTCTCTTGTTATTTTATAAAATACTATATTTTAAACTACTTTTACTTGACAACTTTATCTTTTTAAAATTTGCTAAAAGCAAAGGAGTTTGGCGGCATTGCATCCATTTCTTTGTGAGGTTTTCCTTTGGGAATGCCCTGAAAATTGATGGTGACATAAATTGATATATATATATATATATATATATATATATATACATATATTTATATATATATATATATATATATATATATATATATATATATATATATATAAAATAGCCGTGCGTAAAAAGATGTTATCCATCGTGGCAGCGGCCACTATATTTTATCAACCCACAACCCACGCAAATCTCTCATCGCCCAGCACTTTGTCATTTATTATCATCTATCACAATACCTTTCACCCCTGGCAGGGTATAGGCCACATACAAGCTCTTTCCATTTATCTCTGTCCTGGGCCATCCTTCCAAGCTCTTTTCATTTATCTCTGTCCTGGGCCATCCTTCCAAGCTCGTTCCAAGTGAGCTTCATCTTTCTCATGTCCCTTTCCACACATCTCCTTCATGTTTCCCGTAGCCTGCCCCTACCTCATGCTCCCTGTGGATTCCACTGCAGCGACTGTTTTATGATTTTTTCGCTGGGCTTTCTGAGGGTGTATCCCATCCATCGCCACTTTCTTAGTCCTATTTCTACTTCTATATCCTTTTTCCCTGCCCTTTCCCACAGCTCTTCATTACTTATTCTATCCTGCCGCCTAATTCTTAGGATACTCCTCACACATCTTTTGTCATTGATAAATCATATTATATTTGGCCTCTGATGAGGTGGACGAGCCATCATAACCCATTTATCTGTAGTTATCATAGGTCCCTCCAATGAATGAACAGATCATGTTGTAAGATCCCTCCCACTACTGACTAGTCAGTAACGAATTTTCAGCTGTTGATGAGGGAAGCATACCCACTATTCATACACAAATTGTTAGTGATATGAGCAGTTGCTGTATTTACCAAGCTCTTTTTTTTGTGGGGGGGGGGGGGTAAGTGTATTACGGGGTTCACAGTTACGTAAAGGTCATACACATGAAACATTTTCAGTTGGTAGGAAATTTTTAATGCAATGCAATTCGCCCCTCATGACTTCACCACTCTACACACGGAAAGTTTGATCCTTAACTTGCTACCCTTTTGTAATTGAATAGTTTAAAAGATTACAGAGAAGAAAATACTGTCCAGATTCGAACTCGGAACCTATTGAATGTGAAGGCAAACACCGTAACCTCTCAACCACGAAAGCCCCCTTTCAAAGTTCCTAACAATGGATGTTAACATGAACTTGCAACCCAAGCGTCGCTCGTTCACTGAGTGGTGGCTACCCATCTGTTTGTTTTTGCCATGACTTTCTTGTTTTACACATTTCGTTTTATTTTACCCTTTCACAAAACCATTAAAAAAATCATCCCCCCAAACCCCTCCACTCTCCCCCCCCCCCCAAAAAAAAAATCAGAACAAACAACCTTCCTATTTCTTCTCCCCCCCCCCCAAGAAAAAACAAAGATTTTAATTTGCCTTACTGCAGTTCTAATCCTGCAACCAACTCCGGTTGGGACCTTAGAAAGGAATGACTTGTTTTCTGCCTTCTTAAAAGGGCCATTTTGTTTAATTAAATTCCTTGACAATAGGTTGCCATCCTATGCTTCCCTCATCCTACACAGGTTCAACGATCATAGAAGTATATATAAAACAACACGCTTAATTAAGTTTGCAGATGACTCCGCTATTATTGGATTAATAAATCTTGATGAAAAAGAGTATTTCGAAGAAATATGTAGGTTTTTTTAAATGGTGCAATTCAAATTTTCTGAAAGTGAACCTCTCAAAAACAAAGGAAATGATTTTTTATTTTAGAAGAGAAAAATCAACAATCCCACCACTCGTAATTGAACAAGAAACTATTGAAATCACAGATTCATACAAATATCTTGGCCTTACAATGGACAACAAATTTACGTGGCAAAACCACGTAAACAATATCGTTAAAAAGGTAAATCAGAGGCTGTACTTTCTGAGGAAACTAAAGTCTTTTAATCTGAATCCATCCATCCTTCAGATTTTCTACACCACCACAATAGAAACTTTGATATATTTTGGTATCACTTGCTATGATAGCAATCTGGGAAGGCAGCACATTATAAAATAAACAAGGGCATCAAGAACAATTGGTAGAGACCTAAGTAACTTTGAATATCTGCACAAGACAAACGTTCTATAAAAGGCAGAAATAATGCTTGGTGACCATAGCCACCCACTGACATCGGAATTTCAACTATCGACCCGCTGTAAACGATACATTTCCAAAAAAGCAAGAACAGACAGATATAGAAATTCATTCGTACCAACTGCAGTGAGGTTACTGAACACATAGTGCTACAAATGAAACAGAGAGAAAGAGAGAGAGAGAGAGAGAGATTGTTTTATGGAGCGGGTTGTCCCAGCCCGTTAGACATGTATTTACTTGGCCTAATGTCCTGTCTTGTTGTGCGTTTGCGTGAGTGCACCTTTAAGTCTAACTTTTGTAACGTCTACTGCCATTGTTAACGACCAAGACAAATTTCTCCCTGCGAGATGAATAAAGATTGTCATTGTCATTGTCATTGTCAAACTGCACTTTAAAAAAATGACAATACATATCGCATTTTAATCAAATTATTTGTTTTTCCAAGACAGCTATCAAATAAAATGCATTTAATGGGTTTCATTGTTTTCTTTGTTTCAGTACAAAGAATGACAAAGAAATAGTACTTTCACTACATGCGTGACCATGAAGATCCTGAATGAGAAAGGTCTTATTCACTTTGCCAACTCTGGAGCCCCCGCTGATAAAGAAGGATATCTGCAGAAGAAAGGAGAAGTGAATAAAGGATTTCAGAAAAGATGGTTTGTTTTGAAGGGAAATCTTCTGTTCTACTATGAGAAGAAAGGAGATAAAGAGCCTCTTGGTGTTATCATTCTTGAAGGTTGCACCATTGAGCTAGCTGAAGATACAGACAATTTTCTGTTCATGATTAATTTTGCCTCTTCTGGGTTGAGAACATATTGCCTCAGTGCTCATTCTCAGGAGTCTATGGAGTCTTGGATGAAAGCACTCTCTTGTGCTGGATATGAATATGTGAAGCTAATGGTGTCTGAACTTCAAAGCAAATTAGAAGAAGCTACTAACAGTGCCGAAGCAAATTTGGTGCAAGCTGCTGACCGAGACAGCAGAATATTAGGCAGAATATACAATGACAATGCAGTGTTAGAGACTGTGTCCAGAGGGTCAAAATCTAAGTCTCTACAGAGGGATCAGAAAAAAAGAGTGAATCCTTTCAACGATGTTGATGAAATGGATTCTGAGGTTGATCCAGGCGATGCCTTCCGACATATCGCCAGAACATCTACCATTGAACTTGTGACCTGGTCTCTTTTGGGAATTCATTCATTTGCCGAGATGCATGAGTTCATCAGACACCAGGTGCAGGAGAACAAACTTGAATCTGATCGCTTTTCACAAGTTGGTAAATCTTGATGTCAGTTTGTCTTTCTTAGCAGAGTATGTGGTAAGTGTTTTGCGTTTTGAGAATAGCCATGGGTGGCAACTGTTTTTTGCAATGCTTTGCTTTTGAGTAGCATAATCTGCATATTTTCTCTTTAAATGAGTTTATTATAGTTCTTTTGACTTGCTCCTGTTGTGATAACATTTTTCATGTGAGCATTGGATAAATGCATAATACTGAAGTCTGCTGCTTACATACATACTTTTGTATTCTATAAATTTTCATCACACAGTGCAGGTTTTGTTTTCTAAAATTCTAATACTTATGGTCTGTCTCATGTTGTACCGTCTGTATTGAGCTCTGACTGATTTAAAAGTAAGATATTATTTTAGTTGAGGAAAGTCAGATGCTGTTTTCTTTATTTAAAAAAAACATTAAAAAAAACAACTTTGTCCATTGTGTTTTCTTCTGTTAGTTTTATGCTGATTTATCCAGAACGTTTATCACTGATTTCTTTCCTTTTATTATTGCTGGGCACATGAAGACAGAAGAAGTCAACATCGTTTTGAAAATTTGCTTACCTGATAAAGTTTTTTTCTCTTGTGTTTATTATAGCTAATTTAATTGAAATCAATCCTAAGTTACGTTTTGCAATTTTATTGGTTTTTGCAGCAGACTCATGGAATAATCAGAACTTATCAATGAAAGTTCTGAATGTCCCTCTAAAAACTGGTTGCGTTTAGAAAAATAGGTCACTACAGTACTACAGTTTTCAGCTGTCAATATTTCTCTTGTCGTTACTGTTTATCAGTTTTACCTCCACAGATGAAGTATTCGTAGACTATGTATCGTTTCCTTCACTGTTTTTCATTACTACAATGAGTTTTCTTCATTTTGATAAGGAAAATGTTAGTACGATAGGCTTACATTTAGTCTTTTGAAGTCGTTAGTAAAAAATTTTAATAGCATGGCGAAGAAAACAAGCTGATACTTTTCACGTAGTTTTGTTTTTATGTTTCATCTTATGTTATGTATTTCTTGGTGTTTCGATATGTGTAGTGGCCTGGCAAATAGCAGGTACGCTTTCACCTCCCCCCCCCCCATCTTAAACTAAAACTTTTTCCCAGCTTGTCACAGTTTAGAGAGAGCTTTAAAATGTTAATAAATATTTGACAGAGTTTATGCATGTTTAAGGTTGGAAACTTTGCATGGATACTAAACTTAAAAAAACAGTTGAGTTTGGAAGGTTTATATTTTATCAGGCGTTTTTGAGCAATATTGCGTGTGAAATACTATAGAATATCTTACTTTATTACCGTAAACATATTTTTTACCAGTAAAGGAAACACGTTTGGAACTAAAAAACAGACATGTGCAGCCGATGAAAAACTAATAACAAACATGAGTTGAGGAGGCAACCACATTCTGGGAATGATACCCTTAAAATTAATTTTTTTACATCCTTAACTGACCTGTGGAACTTACATTCTTGAAGGTATGTGTTGGGAGTGGACAGCAGTTGTCCTCATTTTATATTTTATGTTTCTCAACAAACAAATTTTAAAAGTTTCTTTACACTGTTGACAAGTTTGTAAACTTTTTTTCTGTTGTCTAGAAGTACCATGCAATTTTGAGAGAAGCCCAATGTATATTGCTTTTACCTCACGTAATGTTTAGAAATATCAATGTCAGTGGAAATCCAAACAGATTTAATGTTCAAAGATTTTATTTAAGCATACTTATTAAGAAACAGCAAAGAAAATGTGACTGTAAGTCAAAACAGTGTTTACTGTTTTTATTTTTTCCAGCTGATGGTGTTGCATATAAGATTTGAGTTGATCTGTACTCTGTAGCATTGGTGATGTTTTCAATTCTGTCTTTGTTCTCTCGACACATAGTTTATTTTATCTCGTAGCTTATCCTTATGTTTATATATATTATATTGATTTTTTGAATGTTTGAGTCTGAACATGGGTTGTTTACTCCTCTGAAACTTAGTGAAAGGACATATTTTACAGGCTGTTCTGGTATCATTTGATGATATGTGATACTTAGTGGTCAAATGATCAGCATAGCCAGTCATGACATGCTGATATGGAAATGAGCACCTGTGACTCGGTGACAACCCTCTTCTCCCCCCCCCCCCCCACTCACCACACCAGGGCTATTGATTTTTTTTTTACGCTTTAAAAGGTTTTCTTGGCTGTGACTTAGAATAAATCCTGCTTTAATGAATTATTTTTATGAAAGGAAACAGCTGGTCTATGCTAATTCTAAACAAGTGGTTTAAGTTTTTGTGTGTTTGCTCGCAGTATGAGATATGACTCAGTGGGGGCATAGAATGTGGTGTGTGATATGAAAACTGATACGAGTGATTCTGGCCAAATGCTGTCCACTTGTTCATAGCAGAAGGCCATTTTAAGTAAGAACATTACCGAACTTTAGTAGACTCATATTTGTCCATTCAGATCAGAGGCCTCAGTGACCACATTATGTGTGATCATATAAGTTCTTTCCAACTCTTTTTTTTTTTGGCAAAGAACTTTGTCACACTTGTGACTTTTCCTGGGGTTGTGCCAAGCTCTGTTAAATTAAAGTTCCGGCTATTTTACATTCTCTTTGCTAAAGATTTGTACATTTTAATTTAGAAGTGAGCTGAAATCAACAGTACTGTACTGCTATTTTTGTCTTTCTTTTATCGATAAAGACAGTTTGATGAATTACATTTTGTAGTATGATTGACTTTTAACATTTTTGTTGTTAATAGCTCTCGTTTTGCATTCCTGATGAATAGAAGTAAAAGGCAAGTGTGAACACCATGAACACACGTGGAAACAAGAGCCAGCTGGTGTGGCTTAGTTGATTGATGGACTTTTGGAAGTTTTTAGAGTTTCCTTTTCTGGTCCTCCTGTTTAGTGTTTTCCTCTCTGCCCACTTTCCTAACAGAAGACAATATTTTCCACCTTCAATATGGCATGAGTTGTGTCTCTCAAAGACTTTAAGATTGCTAAAGAAACAAATAAATGAAAAAATACTGAATTAGATTAGTTGATGAGGCCAAAGTCTGTATTCTTTTTCTTTCACTTAGCTATTTTAGTTAAAAATTTAAAAAAAACAAACATTATACTTTATGTTATTTCAACCAGCAAAGGGCCAGCCGATGGGATCAAGGATTGCTTGTCCGATGGGCAAGCAGTGGTCAAAACTTCACACCTCTCAATTGCTATCCTGTCTGATAATGACATGCGTCAATCTTACTTATCCAATTACCACCAGTGCTTGCCTTTCATGGGACCACTGTTTGACCTATTAAAAACAGAAACGTTTTAACATATCCCTTGCTTCCATCCTTAGCCCCACCCACCAATGCCACCCCTCGCTGCCATCTTTGTAACAACGATTCAAGGAACTCTTTTCTCGGCTGGCCGTACGATCAGGGCGGCAGGCACTGGTCAATCTAATTTTACACCTCTGGCTTCAGGACCCAGGAGAGTTTACGTAGTGGCTGGCACCTCGAGCACTCTCACGGGCAGTCCTGAGATTTCACACCCACACTCCACTGGCCATCTGCATCGCTCAGGGCTCACATGATGGGGTAACATCTACCCCCAAATTGCACCTCTACTCCCCTTCCTCGCCGTGCGGCATGACCATAGCGTTAGTTTAGAGCCAGCGGAACCAAACTTGCGAGTTTTGTTTCAAATCAGGGCTGAGCGGGCAAAGCATTTTCCGTCTTAGACAGGTGAAATCCTCGGAAGGGAGCGGATTTTTCTTTCCGTTTCCGCGTTGGACAGGTTTCCGTTTTATACAGGTAATTAAAGAGGAATATATCAAGGGGGGAGCGGGGAGATTCCGTTAAGACAGGTTTCCGTTTTATACAGGTTTCCATTAAGGCAGGTTCGACTGCATAAAGTTTAGAGAAAAGCTTTTTCATCTTTCTGCATGGAGGCTCATGATTTCTGACATGGTTGGGTCTTGAACACTTTCAAGACTGAAACAGACAAGTGTATAACTAAAGAAACAAAAAAAAATATGCACAACAAAATAATAAAAGTCCTCACAGATAGGCACAGGTGAACAGTGCTGCTTTAGCTTTTGTTTATTATTAATAAATTCATCCACATTGTATTTGTGACTCATCAGTTGTATCATTGTATTTTACCCTTCGTACAATACTTCTTCATGCATATAAACATATTCTCCATCTATTTGCCATTTTCGATAATATTGAACTGAAAGTCATACTGGTCTGACTCTTTGCTTAACACTTTCCCTACGGCGAGCGGCATGCGGATGTGGTCTCACTGGACCGAGAGCCGCAAAATACGGCTCGAGTGGCTCGTTATCAATTCCAATCCAGTAATGAAAAGACACGAAATTCTCTGTTGATCCATGCTTTCAAAATAATAGAATAGACTTCCTGTTAGCAGATACGAAAGAAAATATAGCACTGAGAGACGATTTTTAGTCATTTCAGCACTTTTTTTGTCCCCTTCGAAATGCAAAAATGAGAAGAAAAAACGCTCCCCTGACTTCAGTAGCCTATATGTCTCATATTTTCACTTCTATATAGGGGCACATACATAACTTTCAGCATTTCTTTGCATTACTTGAGGCAACCTACCTGGGAAGTTTGAATGATGCTGTTGTTGTTTTTTTTAGATATGACCTTTCAAAGCTGGAAAATTGTTGATTTCATATGACACCCTCGATATTGCATAATCACTTTTAGAAACCTCAAACTAATATAATTGGAATAAATCTTCAATATTGTATCACCATCTAATAGATTATTTTTTAACCTTCAGTTTGATGGGTCGTGTGTGTTTAGTTGGATATTTTGACATTTTCCTTTGGTGGGGTAGGGGCGTAAAAATAACATAAGTCAGGGAAAAGCCCTAGGCCAGGGGTGGATTTTGGCCTGGTAGGAAAAGAGTTAATAGTGTGAGTTTTATCAGAAGTATTAGTGAGGTACGTTGTATGACTTTCATTTATCAGAATTACATTCTGTGCAACATCTGGTGAGAAGGGGATTAATGAATTGCTGTTTCCTGTATGATGAGTTTTTGTACAGTGACTCCAGTGTTGGTTTTAGGCTATAGCCAACAACACACCATTATCATGGTGATTAATCAGACTTGTCACGTATGTGTATTGATCCACGTTTGGAAAATGGCTACCGGTACCCTCACTGTAATGGATTCTAGCTCAATTCAGTGACAACCTATCATAACTCGATAATTGGGTCCTTAAAATGTTGCAGGAATAATAGTAAATTGGAATTCAAACGGATACAATGTTGGCTTAATGTCTTATGATATATTGTCAGTGTAAACCACAGATTAAGTCGGATGACTAGGCCTACTTGTAGTTCGCATTTTTTTTGTAGGTTTGTTTACATGTTCTTAACATAGATAGACCATTAGGGAGAAAATGTTTTGAAAAGTTGTTTCGCTTTGTATTGTTGTTATATTATATAATTGATTTTCCCTTTGCTGATTTTGATCATATAGAAAGTTATGAAATAAATCACTTACCATGCTTTGCAACTTTCTCGTATCCTTTTTTTTTGTAATTGAATCTTTCATTCACAGTTGAATTGTAATAATGACAGACTCATTGTGCTGTTTTCAGACATGGGAAAAACTCACATCATATCAGATGCTTTAGAAGGCTCAGTAAGGTTTTTTCTTTTTTCTTTCTTAAAGAGACGACTTTTGGCTGCCATCATAAACAAGGGTCAAAACTTCTGTATACTAAGACTTCATTTTGTTCGTATGATGTTGAGACTTAACCCTTTAGGTTTAAGTTAGTGGTTGTTGGGGCGCTAGTGAAGAGATAGCTACTGCTCTTCTTTTGCTCTTTGCTGAATTCCACCACTCTTGGTGATTT